GTGTAATGTGCTCTGCATCGTGTGTGTGTGTGTGTGTGTGTGTAGTGTGGGTGTGTGTAGTATAGTGTAGTGTGCTCTACATCGTGTGTGTGTGTGTATGAGTGTGTGTGTGTGTGTGTGTGTAGTGTGAGTGTGTGTAGTATAGTGTAGTGTGCTCTGCATCTCTGGGTTTGAGTACTGGTTACTAGAGGTACGAAACATTGCATATCGCTGTTTTGGGTGAAAGATTATTAAGCACAACATGGTGCCTGCTGCATACAACTTGGCCCCTGGCTTTTCAGGGACATTTTCAGGCCATCCTTCAGGGTTGTCACCTTCCCCAGAGCTTCCTGCCAGGACCTTACCATGCCCACCAGTGGTGTGGGAGGTACCCAGGTAATGCCCTCTGGGAGGTGGGTAGCACTGTGAGGCCAGGTTGGTGACAGCCCTCACTTCTACCCAGAGTATGAAAAAACAAGAATCTGGGGACATCATCTTGCCTTGCGTGACCATCAGTGGGGATCTAGATTGGTGATATTTGTCTTCTTTTTGCTCCAGAAATTTAAGGAGACCAACTTAGCAAGTGACTCTCACCAGGAATGGCTCATTGCTAACCTGAGTTCTGAAGGCAGAAAAATCAGCTGCTCTGGACCACCCCACCCCACCCCACCCCACCCCTGGCCCTGTGTTTGGCTTCGAGTGACAGCCTCCTCTCTCTAGCGCTATGTGTCAGTTCTCTGTGAGATAAGTGCAAGGCAAGGCCCAGAACCCGAAAGGCTCACTGAGCAAGTGCAATGGCTCACGTGGACGGCTGAGTTCCAGTGGAGGTCCAGGTGGGACCAGGACCTTGTACCCCTTGGGCTTTCCTGGAAGACTACCAGGGTCTCAAGAGACCAGTCCCAGTACCCCTGGCGTTAACATGCAGGGCAGTGTGACTAATGCATTCAGTCCTCCAGCTTTGGCAAGGGGTTCAGGAATAGCTATGTGCCCTGAGCTGGGACATTTCCAAAGCTACCAGGAAAGAGGCTTTCTGTTTCTGAGGGCTGTTGAATTGATGGGAAACAGTAATGGCAGTGGTGGGAATTGTCAAAGGATGATGCCAACATTAGAAAATCATCCCAGAGAAGAAGAAAATCTCCACTACTGCCTAAGTTCCTCGATTGAGCCCTATCTGATGCTAGATCTTGATTTCTCGGCTGTATTGCTCACCAAATTCTATCACTGACAAACTATCTGAGCAAAAGTCAAAGTGCTAAACAGCAGAGGTGTGTTCTCCACACTCTGCCTCCATACCTGCAAAATGAAAATATGCCCAGGAGTTGGTTAGCTTTCTATTCTTGGAGGCAAGATACTTAGAATGACCCAAATGGAAACTTCCTGCCACCCCTGCCTGAAGGAGAAAGATGACACCCAGGTTCCTTTTTGGAACTATACTGAGCCAGCTCCTTCCTACCCAGTGGCTAGGATTATTCCTTCAATAAACTGTTGTGCATGTTTCTATGAACCTGACCCTTGGACAGACACCAAGGACTAAGACAGAAAGAATGGCCATAGCCAGCGGGTGCTAAGTCTGGGCCTGAGCACAAGACTTTATGAGGCAGGGGAGTGCTTTGGTAAGGGACACTTTGGCCGGGGCATTGGAGCAGTAATTAAAGGGATGGACAAGTCAGGCCTCCCAAGGAAAGTGATACTGGGATGACTTCCAGGTACAGGAATGTGAGCTTTGAGGTCTCAAGTGGCAGACAGTCCCACAGGGGTCTGTATGGACTTCCAGTCAGAGGTTGGGCCCATGTGTGTGTGGAAGAGAGTACTTGATTGCCACCTTGGGAACAGACTAGTGTGCCTTCCTAGTAAGAGACAGGTAGCCCTCTGTGACAGTGACAGCAGAGTGTTCTGGGCCACACAGGCTGAGAGGTAGCAGAAATCATTGACTCTCAATTATGGAGTTCTTTTGGGAACCCCAAAGCAAGGTGCTAGCTGGAAAGGCATCTGAGGGCAATGTTCACACTTCAGCAACTCCAGATGTCACTCAAAAACAATATGCATCCCTCCTCAGCAACCCCCGCACCAAGGCTTGCCAAGCCCTTCTGGACCTCTTTTCCAAGGGTGTTAATCCTATTCATGGGGCCCTGCCCAGTCCTAGCCCCCTCCCCAGATCCTTTGCATCTGATACATAGATTTTAATAAGTGCCAACCTACAAACCCTGGAGGCAGACAACTCTCAGACCACAGGGAGGAATGACAGCTGCTCTTTATTTAGTATGCACTGTGCCCTGACTATAGGAATCCCTTTTCTAACTTGAAGTATTCAAGCTATGGTGGCTATTGGCCCCATAAGACAGAAGAAACAGTCAGTCAGGTGACACAACTTGGCCATGGCCACAAACAGAGTCTGCATACAGGCCAGTGGGCTCAGGCCACTCAGAACTGGGAGGTGTGTGCAAAGGCCAGTGGCAAGCAAAGCTGGCTGGGTGTGGTGCAGTGCAGAGGGAGACACAGAGGGAGATCATGGCTCCTGGGCAAGCTCAGCTACACAGTCCTGGCTCCCACACAGAACCCAAGCCAAGTTGTTTGTGCTTTAGTTGGGAATTTTAAGACATGATACAGAGTTACACCCAGCTTGGTGAGAAGGCTTGAAATAATTTCTGAAGCCAAATGGCAAGAAGTAATGTGGCCTTCACCTGGACCTCTGGAGCTATGTGTCTCTGTTTCCTTCGGTGGCCTCATGAGAAACCTGCATGCCAGAAGCCACTGTGCTGGTGACATCTCTGAAGAGACCTAGGAAAGGCCAGCTACTGGCAGATGAGAGAGGAAGCCTTCAAATAAAGTCAGACCACCCATCTCGATGCTTGGTGAAGGCCTGGAGCAGAAGGCTTCAGGGAGCTTTCACTCCTGACCTGTGAGATGACGGCTGGTTACTGTGAATGGAAAGGCGAAGTAGGTGGGCAACAGTGCTCCAGACACAGAATGTGGCATGTGCACATGTGCAAAGGCCCACAGAGAAGGGTAGTGTCGTAGGTAGTGGGGCTGACAGAGCTGACAGGTGGCCATCCCAACATGGCCTCTGGGGACCCAGCTCCTCTGTTGGTCTTGCCAGTGTTCTTCTGGGAAGTATGACTGTGTCCTCTTTCTGCCAAGAGCTGTTAGCATCGCTCTGTGTCTATTTGGCAAATCCTATGTAGGGAGTGAAGCCAAGTTTCATTCATTCATTCAATCATTTGTTCTCTCAATCATCAAAGGTGTCTCCTGGGCAGGAGGCTTTCCACTGTGTCTGGAGTCCACACCACAACCCACAGGAAGTGTGAGCACTATTTCCTGTGTGGGCTGCAGACAGTCTGGGATGACTGGGGGTCTTGCCCGTTGCCAGGGGTAAGAAGCAGAGATCAGTGGGACCGGTGTGGGGGGGAGGAGTAGAGGGGAAGGTAATGGTTGCCGAGCCAGTCCTCCTCTCCATCCCTGCCCCCATCCCGTGCAGAGCCTTTCAGGCTATGTGTCTTGAGCAAATAACTCAATTGCTCTGGGCCAGGCATTGTTTTCTCTGTGGTAAATAGAGAGGAATCCTGAAGGTCTCATTGGGGTCAAGAAGTTGACAGTCATGACGGTAGCTGCCCTTTAGTCTACGCTCCTGTGTGTCAGGTACAGGGCATACCCCAGGCTGTGCTCCTAGTCTGAATTCATGGGATTCCTCCTCCATGGTCCCATCTGCAGTCAAAGTGACCCAGGCAGACGTGGCCTGCTGAGCTCTGATACGCAGGCAGGCTGCTGTCCTCATCTGCAGCTGTTTTTCCTACCAGATCTCCACACCTGGTCCAGGGCTCGGGTCCCAATGAGCTCTTGTTCCATTCATTCATTCATTCATTCATTCATTCATTCATTCATTCATTCGCTTATCAGGAGTTTAAAACACAGAAGAAACACTACCATGAAGGCAGGCTGCCTGCATCCTAACAGGAAAAACCCAAATGCAGCCCGCTAGATACAGCTACCAGTCGCCAGCGACCATGGCCCCAGGAAGAAAGGCCTGCACTCTCGGGCTTTCATCACAGTATCCAGAGGAGAGAGAAACACAAGCAAATGGTGACACCATGCCTCCCAGCTTGTCCCTGCATGGCATGGCCTGACTCAATACCTTTCATGCTCTGTGAAGTGGGTACTGGCATTTTTCTCCCTCAAGAAGCCAATGCACAGAGGTTAAATGACTTGGTGACAGTCACACAGCTGGTAAATGGTAGAGCTGGATTTTGAAGCATAAACTGAAAATTCCTCAAGTCCCTGAGCCAAGACTTCCAGCATTCCTCAAACAAGAGCTGGGCTTTGTTTTGTTTTGCAGCGGGAGTGTGAGATTTAGGGCCAGCCACCTCTGATTCTAGGGGTACTGGCCAGGGTACTCCCCAGCCCAAGACTTACCACCCAGAACGGGAAGTCCTGGGACAACCTACCCAGGAGACTTCTGATTCCTGGCGCCACCACGAAGCCAGAGGCACCACAGGGCAGAACGCCCCCGCCCCAGGTCCCAAGGGAGAAGGGAGGCCAGGAGCCAATTGTGCTGGGCACCCACAGGACTCTACTCTAGCCATGGAAGGCTTTTTGTCTCCAGGCTGCTTCCCTAGCCTTGCCTTGCTCCCTCCCTCCCTAGGCTGCTCTTGGGGTCACTGCCTGTGTTCCAATCCTAACTTGGAATCAGAGGGGGAAGGTGGAGGGGCTGAGAAACTTGAGAACCAGGCTTTGGGGGACAGGAGTAGGGGTGGAGAGAAGAGAAAGCGGGGAGAGGAGAGGGAGAAGGTTCAGATGCTTCATACTTGGGAGGGAGCCTTGCATGAGCTGTGATCCAGCCTGTGCTTGTGCTGTATGTGCCTGTGTGTGTGTGTGTGTGTGTGTGTGTGTGTGTGTGTGTGTGCGCGTGCGCGCACGTGTGCACGCGAGGGGGGGGGCAGCCTTGAGCCTGGCCAGAGAGGACAGGCCCTACTGCACAATCAAAGCCTCGGACGCAGAAGGAAGAGGCAGAAAGGGACAGAGAGAGGACAGAGGTGCCTGGGGGTGGGGGGAGCAGGAGGCGAGGCCTCACAGGGGAAGCCAGCAGCTGTGGCTGCCCTGAGTATAAATAGCCCAGAGGAGCTGGTCCTCAGGCTTACAGCAGTAGGACTCTCCAGCCACAGTCTGTCTTCACAGGTCCCAGCTACACAGAACATCTGGGCAAGGGCTGGCTGTGGGTGGGTAGCCACCCTGGTACCTCTGACAAGATCACCTCACCACCACTTGTTCTGAGATGCTCTGCCAACCAGCCACGCTGCTAGGTGCCCTCCTCCTGCTGGCCACCATAGCTGCAGCCCAGCAGCGAGGGCCAGCAGCCAGTGGGCGCCGCCAGATTCACCGGGTCCAGCACGGCCAGTGCAGCTACACCTTTGTGCTGCCTGAGTCTGATATCTGCCAGCTGGCGCCTGAGGCACCTGATGCTTTTGGGGGCTCCAACAGCCTCCAGAGGGACTTGCCTGCCTCCAGGCTGCCCCTGGCAGACCTTCGAGCCCAGCGGGCCCAGCGTGTGAGGCAGCTGGAGAAGATACTAGAGAATAACACTCAGTGGCTATTGAAGGTACAGCTGGGGTTATGTGATGGGCTGGTGGGTGGCTAGGGGCCTGGCCTATCATCAGGTGGGGCATCAGCCAAGAGATGTCCATCCCAAGACAGAGGGGCTGGGGTTCTATGTTGCACAGAGCTTCTGGGATGTGGGGTCCAGAGAGAGCCTGGGATGACAATGCCTATCAGGCCTCATGTGTAAAACTGAGCACATGGGCCAGGAAGCCAGGCTTCTCACTGATGTTCATTCATTCATCTAAGAGGAATTTGCTGAACGCTGACCATGAGTCAGGACCTTTCTAAGTGTCGGGCATTCTCACAGGAACAGTACAATACATTCTTATCTAATGGGCTGGGGAAAGAGCAAGAAAAAGTTGTCTGCTGTGGGACAGTAACACATTATAGAGGCAGAGGCAGGAAGAAGGCACAGCTGGCTTTTCCAGGTCAGATCCTTGGAAAATTCCCGAGGAAGTGAAGAGAGCAATGGGTACCCAGAGGGCATCCCAACAGAGGTTTACGTAGAAGACAATGGGGAGGCCAGGTGTGAGGTCTCTATGGATACTGCAAGCTCCATACATGAGTGTCCGGAGGCCTTACAGGATGGCTATCTGACTCTGATTTATCGTGAGGCTACCTGATGAACTGGAAGTCAGGTGGCCAAACAAAAAGGTAAATACACCGCTGCAGTTTGGGCCCAGCGCCAGGACCAGAGGGGACCAGCAAATGCTGAACACAGTTTATGCTTAGGTCAGCACTGGGTATAGAGTGCAAGCTTGAAGAAGGCAAGCTGGGCTGTGAACATGTGGGCACCTGTCCTATGGGACCAGGATGTGACCAACCAGAGTCACCCACCAAGAAAAGAGAAGGAGCCCTACAGTCACGTGGGGGAGGGACTGAAGCAATCCATGGAGGTTTAAAACAAGGTAGACAGCAGACATGCCTAGCAGACATAGCCCATGTGGAACAGTGGCCATCCGGAATGCCTTTCTCACCCTGTGGTTTCCAAACTGTTGGGTTATTATTATCGTTATTTTCATTATTATCATTATTATTATTATTATTATTCCATTTATTAACTTTTTATCTATGTGTACATGTGTGTTGGCATACACATGCCACATTTGTGGAGGTCAAGGGACAGCTCGGGGTGTCACTTCTCTCCTTCACCATTTGGGTCCCAGAGTTCAAACTTCTGTTATCAGGCACATCTGAAAGTACCTTTATCTGCAGAGCCATCTTGTCAGACCCTGAACGTCTTAAATCATACACTCAGTTTAGGAAAGGTTTGCTCTCCCATAGAACACGCACATTTGGTATTTACACTCACGAGCCCATATTAATATAACACACCCCTGGATGATCTCCCTGTATTGAGCAGGCTATATCACATGTATCGAAGCCCTGTCCCCATATGCCGTTACACCCCCACTCCCGCCGTACACGCAGCCTCCTGTCCCTGCTGCATCCCAGCTGCTGGCCCTTGCCTTCTGCCCCTCGGCGCTTCCAGTCCACCCCCATCCTGTGCCCATGCCCCCATGGAAGGTCTGCTCCGCTTCCCACACAGACTGCTCCAAGCTTCACGGAGCTTGGATCTGTGGTCAGCTGTCCCCAAGTTCTATGAAATGTCTGAGCCAAGCCTTCCTCTCTAACCTTCCCCTTTCTTCTCAATCCACCTCTCACCAGATGTGTTCCCCGCTATAATAAACAGCTTCTACTAAACTGTGGGGATTGACCCATGCCTCCCAGTCCCTGGACCTTCCTCGGGCTCAGGGAGAATAGGGCCCCTCAACCTACTCATCTCCCCCACCCATGTCCCAGGGACTTTTCTTCTCCCTGCTGGTCTACTCCTCGGCATTTAACCATCCCCAAGCATTCCCTCAATCTCAAGAAGATGGAGGTGTTGGGAGCAGCAGCAACTATAGCCCCTACTCTGCCTTCTCCTCTTCTTCCTCAGGCTGCCTCCCAGGTCCCAAATCCTATGACCACCACTCAGCTCATCTTCCTAGACCTCGGGACAATGTTGGCATCATCTCCTTGGGTCTGCCCAGGAGTGCTCTTCCTGCACCCACTCCATTCCTCTCAGCCACATCTGTACCAGCTGTTGGCTCATTGTGCTCACTCACTCAGGACACTGCCTTTACATCCTGCTAGCTCCCTACCCAAGTCCCGCCCTCTTGTCTCTTGAGTCCCCTAGTACTGGTGTCTGGAAAACAGCTGAGTCAGTAGAAGAATTTGATTTGATGATCTTTAATAACAGCCACATGGCCCAGGTACAGGATCCTACCTGGGTGTTACCCACCTGGACTGATAACCCAGGAAGTCCTGTGGGGCTGAGGAATGATGGGAGTCCTCCAGCCTAGCCTCACATTGGTGGGTCAGGAGGCACTGATTAGTCATGTGGTTGTGGGTGAGCAAGCCTGTTTCCTCATCTCACAGTAGGTCAGGTGGTGCTGGGGACTTTGTGAGACTCTCAGGCACCCCCTTTGCTGTGTCTCAGTGGCATGAACCACACCAGCATGGTGCCGCTCACCAGGCTCAGTGGCAATGGGCTGACGGGTGTGTAACCCCTCAGCACAGTCCATTCCTGAGTCACCCCAACTCTGAGCTCAGCCACGGCCCCTCTTATTCACATGGAGCAAGGAAAGGGCAGTGAGATATCCCTTGGGGCATACCCACCCATGCTGTATTCGCAACAGGTTCCCAACCTGGGCAAGTCTCTGGTGGGCCGTCTTGCCATCTTCTGGGAAAGGGGCCTCTTGGATTGAGCATATCCTCTCACACCCCTCAGCATTCATGCCTGGTGGTCCAGAGCCTGTAGAGCCGCTACACACAGACCCATGGGCCTACTCATACCTAGAAGTCACTTGGCTTTAGGGAAGAACTCTGACCCTGATGCTTCAGTCTATCCTTCCCTTCATGATTGAGAGAAGAGGTCTTGCCTCCCTAAGCCTCACTGTGTAATAACACTGTCCTCCTCCAGGAAGCTTTAGCCAGACAGTGCCCAGGCCATGGTCTGCACACTGGGTCCTCGGTGAGGCCAGGTTGTTTGCTCTAGGTGAGACCTGAAGGTTGAGGTCTTTCACTGCCTGCAATTGAGATGTGTACCCCTGGCCCCTCTGCACACACACACACACACACACACACACACACACACACACACACACTGTCCCCCTTGAGCCTACTTCTCATCCAGGCAGGGATCTTGTGCCTTCTGCGACTGCAGCTGGAACTCTCTTTAGGCTCCTGTCCCTAACTGGCATGCCTCAGAGGCACTGAAACTCAAATTCTCCTCTTTGGCTTTTGTTGTTGTTGTTGTTTGTTTGTTTGTTTGTTTGAAAACATTCCCTGATTACATCTTCACAAAGCTCTCCAGGCCAAGGTCCTTCTCTTAAAGCTGCAGGGGAGCCCTCCCTATTGTGAGCTCCAGCAGCCAGCACCTGCCTGCCTGCCTTTAGCTCCCTGCCTGGTCCTGTAGTTTACCTGTGTCTTCTCCTGACTGCGGAAGCTGGGTGCTGGAGGGCGCCTGTACCTCCCTGCTAGGGTCCTACCACCCACACTCATGTTAGCCCCAGCCTCATTTTCCTCCTCTTACTCTTCCTCCTGCACCTCTCCTTTGCTTTTCTTTACCCTACTCACCCCTCCCCTCGCTCCCCCTCCTCTCTCCTCCTAGAAGTTCTGCTCAGTCACTCATGGCCCACAGTGCTTTCTGTGGGTTGTACATCAGTGCCCAGCCTCCACCTGGATGAACCCCTGTGGCCAGGAGGGATGGGGGGGCAGGTGTGACGTGTATGAAAGGAATTCCTGCTGGGTAGTGTTGTTCAGTGGTTAGCTACAGACCTTCCAGGGTGACCAGGGACCTTTACTTGGGACAGCCGCTACGAGGCAAAACAACAAAGGCAGAACAACTCCTCACCTGAGACCTGGAGGGTGAATGTGCAGCCACAGCTGCTGCCCCATAGATGGACCTCCAGTTCCTTACTTGTCGCAGGCAGTGACTGGTCTTGTGTCCCCACCTCTCTCTATGAGTGAGGAACACCCAGTCTAGACCCCAATGCTGGGCCCTCGTCTATGTCCACTGCCTGAGAGCAGGGTATCTTCTGAGTCTCTAGGGACACACAGGAAGAGCAGACACCACCCAGCAAGGTCGGGCCCTGTGCATCCTTACCCACTCTGTGTAACTGCTACCTTAGGGTTCCGGGGCCTGCCCACTGCTCCGTGCTCTGACTCTGTCCCCCTGTCTCCATCTTTCTTTCTGTCTCTGTGTTTCATCTTGTGTCTGTTTCTCTTTTTCTCTTTGTTTCTGTCTCTGTCTGTCTGTCTGTCTGTCTGTCCGTCTCTCCATGCCTCCACCCTTCCCTCCCTCCTGTCTCTCTCTCTCTCTCTTGTGCTTCTCTCTCCTCCCTGTTTCTTCCTGTGTCCTTCAGGAGCTCTTCCAAAGTCCCTAAGCCACCTTTCCTGCCTCTACCTCTTTGGGTGTCCAATTTGGAAACCTTGGACCCAGGACCCCAAGGCCAACGCCCATCCTCAGCCAAGTTTCTTGGCTCAGGTCCCTTTGCCCCTTCTGTCCACAGCCACCGGGGTGTGGGGGCAGTCAGGCTTCACTGATGCACAGGCTCCTGGCAGTAGACAGATTAGCTGGGTGCCTCAGCCCAGTGGCCTGGCCTGCAGGCCAAGGGTCAGGAGGGCATTCAGCAGGAGCCTAGTGTGGGGTCCTGGCCCCACCCAAGACCCTCCCAGGCTGACAGGAGCTCCCAGCAGCCCTGGCCTCCCTTGTCTGCCTGTAAATTCTTGGCATTTTCAGCCTTCGGTTATGCAAACAAGAAATAAATCTCAGTTGCCACAAGAAATAAATCTTGGTTGCCGAATGAAATAGCTTGGGGTTGATTTCCTAACCTCTTCACTGGCTTTCTGGGCAGTCAACACGGGGGATGGGGTGGAACAAATGGCCTATGCTTCTCAGAGGAACGGGATGAGTTTTTCCAAGAAGGGCTAAAACACAGCTGCTCCAGGAGTCCT